GACTTACAGAAGCCGTCACGACGACACCGGCAGGCCAGCCATAGTTGCAAGTTGTGAAGCTGACGCGAGCTTCGCGTCGCATGTCACTTTTCAGCCGATCACTATCAACTTAGATTTATGCAAGGGTCGCAAAAAACTTGGTAGCATAGCGCCTTCTGTTCGTCCTGAATGCGGTATCAAGGCCCCTTCACTCTCAGCTTAGCCCTTGCCAGCTGCAGTGGACATTGCGTCGGTCGCTTCGAAGACGATGAAAAGTTAGAAAACTGCTGAGGAAATCTGGCGGGGTGGAAGCTATCTGACTAAGACGGAAATCTTAGGCAGAAGCACTGCGAAGCCAGTGGCCGTTAAGTTTTAACTCCACAGGTTTTACACCGCCTGAACATCCTTGAGCCCGAAGACCTTTTATCCCCAAGCCTCGGCTTCGACACCTCAAAAAGCAACATATCCCACAGCCCAAGGCGAACTATTATAGCGTCTGCATTACCCTAGACTTAAACCCCTAAACCCCTAAACCCTAAAAAAACCCTGAACCCTAAACCCCTAAACCCTAAAAAAACCCTGAACCCTAAACCCCTAAACCTTAAAAAAACCCTAAGCCCTAAACCCCTAAACCTTAAAAAAACCCTGAACCCTAAACCCCTAAACCTTAAAAAAACCCTAAGCCCTAAACCCCAAATCGTGATCTTCCCCGGCCACCCCTCCCGGCCCCCCAAGTCCCCTAAAATTGACATCCGCGGGGTGCTGCCTTTAACCTTTGTCACAGTTGGGTAACTTTTTTCATGTTTCTGGGTATTTAAACCCAAGTAATAAGGAATTACAAACTTGGTTTTTATTCCTATCCCAACCATGAACTAGTAACCATAGCCCAACAATAACCCAACACCCTGCCTAATTGTGTAGGCCTCTACGCTGTATTTTTGATTTCGAAAATGGCTTTGGCCTGCCAGTCTACACCGTCACCCAAAAACTAAACCCCCAAATGTTCTAACCCCTACGGCTCATAAAGACTGAAGTCAACCTTTGAACTTCCACTTGCCAGCCGCGTTTTAAGCTAACTGCTCACCACCTCCCTTTGTGCGCCGATTCTGAACCGCGGGTTTGTTATGCACAGGCATGCGGTGGTTAAGCTAATCTTGCTATTGCTAGTTCCACTTCAGAGGTATTTTCCGTTGAATTTGTATGCCTTTGGTTTCATTTGGGTGGTTGTCAAAATGATGGCCCCTTTTTGGGGTACCCTAAATAATAATAGGTGCCGCATTATCGTAGGGACCCCAAAAGGGACCCCAATTTTGACAACCACCCATTTTTCGTGATCTACCATTTAGCTACATGTTTCAGGCCGACATTCCGAACCGAAGCTTTAACCGTCGGTCCGACCCCGCCCCCTAGGGTTTAGGGTTTATAAGGGGTTTAGGGGTTTAGGGTTTATAGGGCCGATTTCATTACAACAACGCATTCAAGGAATCTGCCCGAATCTGTGCCCATATGGCCCTGGCCCAAAGTTAATGGTTACCAGGTCATAAGGCTTTCAAGTGATAAAGGTTTACCGGTGCGGGGTGAACGAAAGCCCATGAACAGCATGAGACTTTTAAACGAGGCTTCCTCCCGAGCGCGAGACCTACAAACCTTGAATTCGGAAGTTCTGTAAGCCCGGCAAGAACGCTGCAAGCTCTCCTGGGGAGGCCAAATCGGCCCACAAACCTGGCACCAATTCCATGCCGAGGCTTCTATGAGTACTCCTTCGTGGGCTCAGCGCTCAATCCGAGCTCACCTGCCCCAGCCGCTGGGCCTGCCTTCAGGGCGCCGGCAGCAGTGTTTTCATGAACAGCGCTTAGAGTCTTAGAGTTTGCCCGGAACACAAAAGCAGCAGTAGCACTGGCACGAAAGGCTGGGCGATCTCACCACGAGCTTGAGAAAGCACTACATGGCATAGTCATGGGCAGCAATTAGTAGCAGCAAACGGTTGCACAGGACAATCTAAAGACGAGGACGAGGAGACACCGTAAAGACATGCACTGCTCAAAGGTGGCACGAGCTGAGAGTGCAGGACTCCGGTTCGCAGCGTAGCCCTTGGATTAGGATTTTGCTGGCTCGCGAGCGCTAGTCTGAGATTCTCCGGGCAATCAAAGCAAGTCTACCTACTGCATGTGCTGATAGTTTGTGCTGGAACATAGCAGTAAGAAACGCAGCAGCAGCAGCAGCAGCAGCAGCAGCAGCAGCAGGATTAGCGCTATTCAGTGGCAAGCAATGCAGTAAGACCACAGGGGCCTAAACTAAGCAATTGTAAATATTCTTCCTTCGAATATTTTATGATAGAGTATATTACAATCGATCCCCAAACCCTGTTCTGAGCCCTCCTCTCCATCGAGTTACCATCTCAGGACTTTGCTTGGGCATCACTGCCCAACGGCAGCGAGTTGGGCTTCTAGACCGTGCGATCTTTTTGCGGGCGAGTTAGGGCTCAGGGTTGACGGGTTTCGGTTTATGGTTTCGGGGCACAGGGCTCTTCAAGATTCGGATTTAGCGATTAGGGCTTAGTGCTTAAAAGTCTTGAGGTTGCTTTTCGCGGGCTGTGAGCGAAGAAAACAATCTTTAGGGTGCTTACCAATTCCTAGTAGTAGAGTAGGTAACCTTTAACCTTTTTTGGGTAGTATAGTCCCTATATAATCCCTCCGTGACCAAAAAGGTTAAGCTTTAGTTCCCCATGATACCCGACAAGAAGGAATTCTCACACCGACAAAACGCCGCCCCCTTAACCCAAGCCTTGAGCCCTGGACCTCAAACCCAAGGTCCCGCGCTTTGGTTTCGAGGCTTCAGTATTAGTGCTTCGGGGTTTAGGTCTTTAGGTTCTTCAGTTAGTTAGTTAGTTAGTTAGTTAGTGAGAGAGAGAGAGAGAGAGAGAGAGAGAGAGAGAGAGAGAGAGAGAGAGAGAGAGAGAGAGGGAGGCCTTTCAGGTCTGGGTTTCGGGGGACCTCGGCAACAAGGAAATCACATGCACGGATCAACAGCGCTGCTTGCAGGGTGATGTGACGCAGCTCTTGATATAAGTTCGGAGTTTCCGAGTCGCTGTGGCGTGTAGGGTGTCAGTTCCTCTAGGCTTCAGGTTTTTCGGGTTTTTACATAGGGGATAACCATGCAGTACCATAGAGCTGGATTGCTGAGGCATCTTGGGGTCCAAAGCCGGTAGAAGCCATGTGGGTCGTTGTCCAAATTAGGATCCCTTTTTGGGTACCTAGTATAGTACGGCACCTATTATTTAGGGTACCCCAAAAGGGACCATAATTTTGACAACTACCCATGTAGAACCTTTATTGAGAATCCTCATGCCAGCATTACTTCTTCAAGCACTCATTGCATTACAGCACCCGGGGGTCTAAACCACACGGACCTGATAAACCCTGACACCCTCCGGATCAGCTGAGGAAGCTTCGCCGTGAACCGGGCTGATGACGAACCCAGGCTGCAAGGATATGCCCCGTCCCTTGGAAACTGTGCTGTTCAGCTTCGGCCGCCATCAATGTCAGCATGGATGCTGGAGTCTGCTGTGCGTCTCTGCGAATAAACCAAGAACGATTAAAATTGCTGGGCTGGAAAGCCAATCACAATTTATTAGTGTCTGTGTTCTTTGTAAATCTGCATCGCAAAATCACGCTCGGAACAGCACCACGAGTATGAATGTCCAACTATTCCTCACCATGCGTTGACCACAGCACCAGTGCGAGGAGTTAGCAGGACACTAGGCTATCTCAACGCAGCATGGTAATGATCAAGTCCTGATACCATTGGTGTGGTGGTTGGTATGCGAATTCTGTGCTGTCATGTGTTGCTGCGAGCCTGCGTTGCACGAAGGACGCCGTGCTGTATTCTCTGCCCTTCAACTTCTCCTTCTACGGGCAAGCATTTGACCAGGCCACCGTCATGGGAAGAGGGCAATTTCAAGATTCTGTTTAACGAAGGCAGGCTTAGCCTAGAACTACCTTATTACTATAGATCCCTATTATGGCAACAGGACTCCACTCCTGTAAGTAGGGTATGACAGGGCTAGCTCCGTTGAGGGTATTCAGAACTAACTTATAGCCAACTTTTCAAGTTCCCTGAGCCTCTATGTAGTCGTTCTATGAGGGTGTTCTACGTTTGGTGAGTTTCCCGTTGAGTGTGTGACTAATGCGTGCCGCCTTCCCAGAATCTATCCGCGAGTCCTCAATGCAAGTGCCCACGCTATCGCAGATTGTTCAGTCAGCATTGTCGTTCCTTAGGGTTATCGCATATTCCACCAACCTGTCCTAGCTATTGAGGCGCTCATATGACGCTTGAGTAAGATCGAGCCGTATTCAGAATCCTAAATAGCGGAGTACTACGATGGTCGCATTAGAGGAAGACCAGATTTTCAGAGGGCGCAGTATGACGCAGTTTTTGCGTGTAAACCCCAATTTGGTACTTGGAGGTCCAAGGGACTTAGTAAGTAGGTTATAAGTAGGGTCACAAGTACCCTAAATGGAGTTACCCAATTATAACCCTACTCATAACCTACTTACTAAGTCCCCCAAGCCACCAAGTAACCCTAAACCTCTTTTATAGAACTCTTATAGATCCACTTTTAAAGAGCCCTTTAAGGAACCTACTTACTAAGTCCCCTGGGCCTCCAAGTAGTTCTGAAAGTTCTGAACCTCGAGATGGCTTGGCAGTGCCTGAGACTACTTTCGCGTTTAGAGGCTGGAAGAAGAAAGTCCATAATAATAATACCTAGAGGTTCCTGTGTAGTTCCTTTTTGTGGTTTCGGTTGGGAAACCATATCTTTCTGGTTCGAGGATTTTGGGAGTTCAAGAACAGGTTTTCCATGTTTCAAGAAACTTCAATATATCATCAAGAAAATGTAAGAAAGTCAAGAATATCATATCAGAATGATATCAAATTATAAGAACTGATGAGCAGATGATGTTCATGTGCTGATGCTGCTGACATGTTTGCTGTGCCGCAATCAACCACACTCGTTCAGTTTTTTATCGCTCACCCCGCCACCGAAGTCTGGTGTCAATCAACCACTTCTGCGCCGTGCGCAGCGGCATAGCTATCTGATGCGTCGTCCTCGAAATAACAGAAGCCCTGCCAACATAATCCTCGGCCATGGCGGTAGAGAATGCCATCGGATTCAAGATACGCTGCTGGCTTGACAATTGTTTCCTTAGTTCCAAACGGACATGATCCAAATAGTGAGCCTTGGGGGTGATATTGAAGAATACCAGCCTGTCGTTGTTGGCATCGAATGCGAGCCGAATGTATTTGATCAGAAATCGGTCCAAAGCTTCTGCCGCACCTCGTGCTTCAGTAGGGGTCATAAAAACCCGGTCGGCTTTGGTACATATCCGCATGAACTCATCGAGGCCTGAGTTGCTTTGAACATGGACAACTTGTATGCTTCAGTCTGCTTACATGCACAACATTAGCAACATGGCAAGCAATCCAACAAGCATCTCATGGCATGAGCAAGACACTGTGAGCACAAGCAAACATGTTCTTGATGTAGTTGTTGGGTTCAAAAGGTCGTTGCAAATAGTCCACAAGCCACGATAGCATCAAATACGTGTCCGAAGCTTTGAAACTTGTGGATGGCATGGTATCCGGGCCTTTCCAACCGAGATTCTCTCTCGTCCAGTGCTTAACCATGGGTGTCATTTTCATGACATGCTTGCAAAAGTGCTTGAAATCATTATAGGCTTCATCTATCCTCACAGGAATGCTTCGCCCGAGAGCCTGGTCTGTGGGAATAAAATGACCCAGGTGAATCAAGAAACAAAGTGCTGAAGCAAAGAACGTACGACCAATTCCCAAATTCACGACGTGAAAAAGATCTTGCGCCAAAAAGGACGCCTCACCGTTCCTGGTTAAAGCAGCCAATGGCGGCTCGACGGACCATGGGACGTGCTGACCCACTGTGGCCCTCCAAGAAGCTCCAGCACGAACGTCAGTGAATGGGATCGTATCTCCATCGGCCGAGCACCATGGACACATGGGGTTCGGAACACGCAAGAAATTTCGCACGCAATGAAAAACCTTTGCCTGAGCAGGGAGATCACCTTCCAGACTGATAAAGCACAAGAAAAAAGTTCCATGCTTTGTGGCGATACCAGTCTCCATGGCCGATGTTGCTTGCTTTGCCAACTCCTCCGTCAATGAGTCCAATACTTCGTTGCCCCATTCCCAACCCATATTATGCTGCCGGTACGATTCGTGACCCATGGCAGTCCAAAAAAAATATCGGAGCCAACTAGCAGCACCAGATGCGAGGACGGGTCCCCAAGAGCACTGGAGAACTGCACTCTTCCGTACCCCAGTGCCCTCATCCATATGAATCTTGCAAGGGATACAAAACTGTAGTTCATCTTGGGAATGGATTTGGAAGACTTTGCTATTGGGCTGAACTTGACGAAAGGTCCTCCAGAATCTCAGAAAAAGCCCCTGTGCTGCTGGCACCGATCGACCTGCAAAAAGCTTATCCTCGTAGCTGCGGAAAATCTCTTTGGCCGTATCTTGTATGCATAGAATAGGATGATTGACCATACCATTCCCATCAGGAGCCAACACTTTGACGTGAGATATTGGAATACGGAGAGCAAAGCCACGCTTGGTCACAGCATTATTGAAGTTGCGGGCCTTGTTCTTGCTTGTCTTGGACTCAGCCAATTTGACCAGAATATCTTGTCCATGATGCCCAGGCAACATTGTTTCGGCTGTAGTGCGAGCATGAGAGCTAGCACTGCTGGCAGTCCCATCCTTTGCATGTCGTGAATATAACAAGCAAGGCACAAGGACAAGCCATGCACAACCAGGACACAAGCTTGCTTGGCTGCATGCGTGCATGTCGTTGCTCATGTTGTCAGCTGTTCCTGTGGCTGCTATTGGTGTCGATATCGACAAGTTATTGCAAATTATTGATATTCTTATCATTGCTGTTGTTGCCGTTGTGGTTGTGCTTGTGGTTGTGGTTGTGGTTGTGGTTATTGTTGTTGTTGTTGTTGTTGTTGTTGTTGTTGTTGTAATGGTGGGGGTTGCAGTGGTAGGGGTGGCAGGGGCGGCGGCGGTTGTAACGGTGGCGGTCGCGGTAGGAGAGGTGGCAGGGGCGGCGGCGGTCGTTTATAAGTGTCGTCGTCTTCGTTGATGTTACTTATGTTGCTGATGCTGTTGTTGCTTTTGTTGCTGCTGGTGTTGCCCTGCACGTTGTGACCGTGTTGCCATGCAAACATATCATGCCATGGGGCCACGTAGGTCATGAGCACATTGGTCACGGCAGCATCACCTGCGCAAGGCCGGGAGGGTAAGGATAAATACAAGCCTAATGATCAAGCACTTCAGACCATGCAAGGGCAATGCGTTCTTTTTGACAAGCAGCCGCTGTGGAACTCGGGCCGCAGTCCCCCTAGACCGTACATGCCCATGCAGATGCTCCATGTCACTGTTTAAGTCCTAAGTCTAAGTACCAGTACTCTCGAATATCGAATATTTTGCCTAATGGCTTTGAGCCCGTCCTTAAAACAATCCCCGAGGAGCAACTGCATGCGCTGCACGTAGACTGTGTCCTGGCTGCCTGCATAGACTCATCATCCCAGCTGTATGTTAGCCATCCAAGAATGCAATATTACATACAATTATGTCCCAAGTCCATGCTGGCACACTAACACAGTGCACAGAGGTGAGCAAAACATGGCAAGGCAAGGCCCAACAAGAAGCTTGTTGCATGTTATTTAAGCAACCCTAGGCCCTATTTAAGCAACCCTAGGCCCTAGCTGCAAGGCTTTTCAACATCAGAACCCATTGCCATACCACGGCTCCGGCTCTCATTCCTCCTCCTTGGCCGCTGCAGGCTTCGCCGCCCGTTTGGGCTTTGGAGCCACATGGCTCCTTAGCTGCAAACATGGTTTGAAGACAAAGTAATACATGTCGTCACATGAGACCATGCATGAATGTGTGATGCTGGCCAGCGTCTTGAGGGAGGCAACATTGTTGCCAAACATGGTAATCCTTATTTTTTCGCTTGGCAACCACAAGTCTAAGCTTGCAAAGAGGCACAGCCACTAAATAGCGGAAACTCAGCCCATAGCGTATCACGGATCTCTTTCGTGATGTCGGTAAAATGCTTCGGCTCCCTTAATCAGCATCGTGTGCTTCAAGCCGTCACTCGACCCGAGTACATCAAGAATCTATAAGTTTGTCTCAAGTAGCACAGTCGTGAGCTCGAGGTCGCACAGCCTTTTGTAGAGGCCATTCAGATCACCTTGGAAGCGATAGGTGCTTATCGATTTGCACGACCAAGTTTGAAGCACGAACTTGTTGTATTGACACACAAACACACACCAAGCACAAGCATGAGATGAACACATCATGTCGTAAACTTGCAGCCAATTGCACCCAATGTCCTTTCACAAGCCGTCAAATCATCCCTCGGTTTGAGGCACCACAGCATGCAACAGAAGCAAGACAATCAGCGGGTGTACAAACACGACCAAGACAATGTTGATGTGCTGTGTGACAAGAGGCTGGTGTGTAGTGCACTTTTCCTCCGTCAATTTGTCTTTGACCTCTTTGAGCACGGTTCGTTTGTTCAGCAGCGCTTTTTTATATTTTCCGATGCAGCCCACCACATCCTTTTCTCCTTCCACGATCATGGGCAGGCCGCTTGCCTTCGGCCCCTTACCCCCTTTCCTTCCATTTTTCCCCTCAGCCGCAGCTTTCGAATCCGGAACCGTTTCATCATCGCTGATTTCAAAGGAATCGCCGCATCCGAGCTGGAACTTGTCGTTGAAGAAGCCTGCCTCTTCCATGAGCTCCTCGAGCTCCCGCAATTTTTCCTGTCCCTGCCTGGTGTCCAGAGGAGGATCCACTAAGGCTTGTTCATAATACTATAAGCAAACGAGATGAAAGAGGAGACGATTTTGTAGCCGAGCTTCTGCACTGTATCCGAGACGAGCACAAGAAATTTGTATTCGCCCGTGTACGGGCAAGTCTTGAAGAGCTTCTTCGCGGAACAGAACTTCTTGGCCCCTTCTATTTTTTCCCTTGGGTACAAAACATTCTGAACATAAGCGAGATACGGTCACCAACAATTGAGGCTCACATTTAATACAGTACGAGGCTCTTGGGCCAGCCCTTGGCCTCCATGTCGGCCACCGTGCACCACTCAAACCCCTGAGTGTTCTTCTTCCACTCTTTCGTGGTCTGCCTGAGTCTTATGAGCGCCTCCAAACGGCCCTTGTTGACGGAGTGGTCATCTTGCGGACTGAAAACCTTTACCACAAAGTCTCGTAGAAGTCGAGCACGCTTTATCCCTCCTGCATGTTCATGCATGTACATGCTTCAAAAGCAAGGCACCCAGAAGTTCATGCTTCCAGCGCACAAACACACACCCAAACACACACACACAAGCAAGCAAGCAAGCACTGTCCATCTTCCCATGCTTTCGTGATCTCATCGAGGGTTCCCTTTTTGCTCTTCACGAGGCGGTTGAGGAAGTGCCATTCGGTGGGGTGTGTCGTGCTGTTGTATGCTTGCTCACTGGCTTTCCTGCATGCACGAACCAAAAGCAAGTTACACAAGCAATCACCAGCAACATCAAGAACATGTAAGGAGTCTGCGTGCAAGCCGAGTCACACGCCCACAGCTGGTGCGGGGCTCCCCGGGGTCTTCGGCGTGGGAGCAGTGGGAGCAGCCTTGATCTTTGGCATAGCCTTTGTCTGGACCTTCTGCCGCTTCGAGTCAGGCTCCTCGCCCTGCTGCTGCCGCTGCTGCTGCAAAAGCGCCATCTGTTGGCGCAGGTAGTCCTTGGCGGCCTCACCCTCGCTCACCCTGCGAACCTTGTCTGCAAGGCCACCGCCGGCCTTTGGGGATCGCGACCTGCTCAGAGGAGGCGGTGGCGTGATCGGGGTCGGTGTCACTGCCGGAACTGGCGGAGGTATGGGAGGCAACGGAACCTCTTTTGGCCAGTTGCTGGGGATGACGAAGAGGCGAGTCGATCCCACTGGCGGAGCCTTGCTTTGGCTGGACTCGGCCACCATCTTGTTCCTCAGCCTCTCCGCTCTGGCCTCCAGCTCGTAAAGCTCTCTGGCCAATGCCTCACTCTCGGAAGCACGGCGCCTCTGCTCCTCCTCCTCGATCTGCAGCCTCTCCTCTTCCAGGGCTCGGTCAGCCTCGTCCTGTATCCTTTTCTGCTCCTCCGCAAGCCTCTGCTGCTCCAGGATCTTCTGAGCTCGTTCCTCCTCCTCCTTCTCCTTCCTGCGCTGCTCTCGCAGCTGCTTCTCCTGCTCCACGAGGAAGGCCCTGCGAGTCTCCTCCTGGATGTTCATCGCCTCCTGCATGGGGCCTCCCAGGCCCGCAAAAGAGGCTGCAGAAGCTCCTGCACTTCCGCCAGCTCCTCCACCTCCCATCTGCTGCTGCTGAAGCAACACAGCTTGGTGCTGCAAGTCAAACTGCTTCTGCTGCTCCAACAAGAAGTCCATGCGTTGCTGCTCTTGCTGAATCAAGAAGTTCGTCTGCTGCTGCTTCATGATGTCGTGCTGCTGCTGCAGCCATGCTTGCTGCTGCATGGACCCCCATGGCATCCGGGCCTGCATCTGCTGTGCTTGCTCGTGCACTGCAGTGTCATGCACATGCTTTGCTTGCATTTCTTGCTGCCGCAACAAGTCCTTGTCACCCGGAGGGGTCTTTGGCTGGGGCACAGTCGGCATGGCAGTGGGAGGGGTCTTTGGCTGAGGCACACTTGGCATGGCAGGGTGCACCTGTGGCTTCACGTAGCCCGGAGGGGGTAGGAAGGCTCCTTTGGAGTGAGCCGAGGAGGGTCGGGCGGGAACGGAGGCCTTTCCCCAGGCCCGTCTGGAGTCTCGGCCTCCTTTTTCACCTCTGCCTCCAAGGCCTTTGTCTGCTTGCCTAGGATGTTGGTCGAAGATATGTGTTCAAAGCATCACATCAACATGCGAGGGCCATGCAAGGAGCACAAGGCAAGTTCGAACATGCAAGCAACAAGAATATCCTAGCTCACGGAAGCACGACACCGATGCAGCCAAGCAGCGGGCAGCCCTGAGCTGTTCCACCAGGTCCCTTGATTCCTCAGAATCATCCAGTGTAGCGATCATCGCCAGCGTAGTGTGCGAGAAGTCGTCATCATCCGTCTCCTGCTTCACCTTTGCTTGTGTTTAACACATGACAAGTATTCTAGGGATATATTTGCAATGCCATCAGGAACAGCAAGAAAGCAACTGGGCTACATCATGATTGCTATCATGCAAGGTGACTGCCACCGGTGGCACAGCCGATGCCGGCTGCCGCTGGCCTTCCATGGCTGCTTGGCCAGCAATCAAAGAGCTGCACGACCACAGCTTCGAGGGTCCCTCACTCATAACTCGGACCCAAAATGTCTCTTGGATTGAGTTTTAGCATGCACAGGAGCACCAAAGCATACACTGCATGTCATGCCAGCACACTAGCAACAGCACCATGCAAGTCAACATGCAACCGCCCTGAGCAAGCAAAGGAGGGGAGGTATCACCTGCTAGTCGGCGGCGTTTCTCGACCTCGTCTTCGGCAGTGGTACCTGGCAGCAATTGTGTGGCATGACAACGGAATGGACGCACTGGCATGTTCTGCTTGAGACTGAGAACACATGGGACATAACATGCATGTGCAGCAAAAGCAAGATAGCCAAGGACAAAGTCAGTGGGTGGTGGCTGTGGGGAAGCGGGGGGGGGTTGGGGGGGGCTTGGGGGGTGGTGTGGGGAAGGGGTGAAGGGGGGTTGGGGGGTTGGGGTGGTGTGGGAAAGGGAGGGGGGGTTGGGGGGGAGGGATTGAGGGGTGGGTGGTGGGGTGGGGGGTGAAGGGTGGGTGGTGGGTGGTGGGGCGCAACCCATACCTGCGGAAACCCTTGTGCCTATAGAAGCACAATAGATTTCCAACAAGATTTTCTATCTAGCTCGGATCTGGCCGAAGGCATCGAAATAAGCGTTATCGGCTTATTCCAAGCACTCCCGAAGGGTGCGCAAGGTTTTAAAAGCTAGGCACAATAGATTTCCAACAAGATTTTCTAACTAGCTCGGATCTGGCCGAAGGCATCGAAATAAGCGTTATCGGCTTATTCCAAGCACTCCCGAAGGGTGCGCAAGGTTTTAAAAGCTTTCCAGGATCACTCATTGTTTTTGGTTTTCCAACATGAGACTTTGTGCGAACGGACTGCGATGCCTTGTCAAGTTCTAAGGTGTCACTATAAGAGCTGTGAGCAAGACCGTGTAAAGTGCAAGAGAAGGGGGCACGCTACGCGTCCCTCGACTCTAGGGGGCATGCTACGCATCCCTCATCTTTACCTTTCTATGTGACCGCCAACGCAACGTTTGGCTCAAGTCAATGCCCATAGCTAAGTGCTATATGTGTCTTCTATCCTGAGCAATCAGAGCTATCCCGTTGCACAGACGAACCGCCGCCGGCAGTGAGTGCAAAAGGAACGGCCGCCGGTTCTGCCTGCATAGGATTGCACGTGTGGAAGTAAGAGGGAGAGACAGGGTCCAGTCTGTGGAGAGTGCTAGCCAGCCACACCTACATTCATTACAGCTCTGGTGGGGAGAGCAGCAACCAAGTCGAGATCAATCCCCCACGCAGGTTATCAGCCGTACGCGGCTCTGCCTTTCTACAGCAACGACTACTTGATCTACTACGACCACAATGAACTCAGGATCAAGCCAAGATACGACAATGACTTTCGGTGCCGATGTGGCAGCGCCAGCCGTTGGTGAGTCAACAGCTGACGACACAGTGGTGCAATCCGTTGATAGCTCCACGGAAGATGACAAAGGTCAATCTTCTGCGCTTGCCATTGCAAAGGCAGTTCCCAAGGGGAAAGCAAAGAGTCTACCAAGAGCATCTACGCCTTCGCGTCCAACATCCACAGGTTCGAGGACGGGCAAGGCTGCAGAACGACGGGTCGAAGCGTCTGGTTTTCAGGCACCTCGGACTACGTCCAGGGCCAAGGACAAAGGAGTCAAGACCTTGGAAAAGAAGTCAAGACCATCATCTTCGAGAAGCTCTTCAGCACGATCGAGGACTTCGGCTACTCGTGGGCGTGACAAGTCCATGACTTGGAATCGGATGGTTACCAATCAACCACGCGATACTGACGATCTGGACATGACTCTGGATACGATTCCTGCGCGTGGTGATGCGTCATCCGTGGCTACGCCTGCAATAGCTGACGGTCCGAATGCCTACCAGGAACTGACGATTTCGCAACAGTTCGAAGCATCGAACCTTGCACAGCAGATGTACTATCGCAGTCAGGTGCAAGAATACGAAGGAATCGTCCAGACCCTGATGGACAAGATCAAGGAGATGCAACAAGAAGATGAAGGATCTGGAATTCGCATTGAAGAATTGGAACGACAACGTGACCATGCATGCTTAGCCATGAGGCACATCAACAATGTCAAT